AAAAATAATAAAAATATAAAAAAAAGAGGGAGAAATCTGAAGCAAATATGATGAAGCAAATACGTTAAATCTGAGTGGTGGTTACATGGGTGTGTTTGTTATTTTATTCTCTGTACTTTTTTCTATATCTTAAAAAATTTCCCTAATTTATAAAAATAGAAAATTCTGTTTTCTCTCCAGCCCCAGCCATCACATTTGTATTCCATCTAGCAAAAAAGAGAGAATTTGTCACTTACCTTGAAAGACTTCATGAAAGTTGCACACTCAACTGTGCTTTTATATTTCTTTGACCAGAATTTAATGACATGGCCACAATAAACTTCAAATGATGTTAGCATATGTGTTAGCTAAAATTTATAGGTTCTGTTGCTAAGGGGGAAGTGCTTCTATGTCTCAAAGTCAACTACATTATCCAGTATGCAGTCTTGCCCATCCTGAAGTTGTACAATTGATTCTTTTAAACCTAGAATTTTTAAAAGGGTTTTTCAAAAGACTAATGTAATTCAATGAGGGAAAAAAGGGTCTTTCTTTTTTTTTAAAGATTTTATTTATTTGAGATAGAGTGAGAGAGAGCACAAGCAGGGTAGAGGCAGAGGCAGAGGGAGAAGCAGACTCCCCACTGAGCAGGGAGCCTGATGTGGGACTCCATCCCAGGACCCTGGGACCATGACCTGAGCCGAAGGCAGACACTTAACCGACTGAGCCACCCAGGAGCCCCATGGAAAGGAAGATCTTTCAATAAATGGTGCTGGAGCAACCAGGTAACCATATGGAAATACATGAGCCATGATTGCTATGCCACACACCATACATGAAACCTAATTTGAGATGGATCAAAGACCTAAATGTGAGGGCTAAAACTGTAAAGCTTTTGGAAAACAACATAAGAGCTGTCTCTATGAAAAAAAGAGAGAGAGAGAGAGAGATGTCTCTATGACCTTAGGAGGATTGCAAAAAGCATGAACCATAAAAAAGAACAGTTGCTCAGTTGAATTTCATTTAAAAAATTTAAACATCTGCCAACATGCTGACAGCATTAAGAATGTGGAAAAGCTGGGCACCTGGGTGGCTCAGTTGGTTAAGCGACTGCCTTCGGCTCAGGTCATGATCCTGGAGTCCCGGGATCGAGTCCCACATCGGGCTCCCTGCTCGGCAGGGGGTCTGCTTCTCCCTCTGCCCTCTTCCCTCTCGTGCTCTCTGTCTCTCATTCTCTCCCTCTCAAATAAATAAATAAAATCTTCAAAAAAAAAAAAAAGAATGTGGAAAAGCTACTTGCAATAATACATTTATCTAATAAGGGTCTCATATCTAGAATATATATAGAATCTCTAAAAATCAGAAAGATCAACTAAAAAATGTACAAAAGACATAAATAGTTATTTCACAAAATAAGGTACGCAAATGGCCATAAAAATAGGTTTTCAACATTATTCATAAGGGAAATGCAAATTAAAACTAATGTGATATTGGGGTGCCTGGGTGGCACAGTTGGTTAAGCGTCCAACTCTTGGTTTCGGCTCAGGTCATGATTTCAGGGTCGTGAGATCAAGCCCAATGTTGGGCTCTGCTCTCAGCATGGGACTCTTGGGACTCACTATTCCTCTCCCTCTGCCCCTCCCCCACCTCAAATAAATAAATCTTAAAAAAAAAACAACTAATGTGATATTATTACATACTCAACAAAGTTTGGAAGACTGAACATACCAAGTGTGGCAAGAATGTGGAGCAACTGGAACTCTCATACATTGTTAGAGAAGAGTATCAAATGATACAACTACTTTAGAAACTGTTTCTCAAATATCTAATAAAGTTAAACAGGAGCATCTGGATGGCTCAGTTGGTTGAGTGTCTAACTCTTGATTTTGGCTCAGGTCATGATCTCGGGGTCCCAGGATTGAGTCCTGCATTGGGCTCCATGCTCAGTGGGGAGTCTGCTTGAAGATTCTCTCTCTCCCCCGTGCCCCTTCCCCTGCTTGCACACACACTCTCTCTCTCAAATTTAAATAAATAAAT